TTTACAGCCATCACAATCAGCCTCTCATTTATGAATGTTCACTTTGTCTGGTTTTGTTGCAGCATGCCACCATATAATTCTGACACTTTTGGTATATGGTAGTCTAAAATTTGCATATATGCATAAGCAAGATCACACTGAATACTAAAACTATTAGGATAATGTTCAAGTGCTCTTTCCAACCACATTATAATTATTGCATCTTTGTATCTTTTATTATTGAAAGCTTTCTTGCCTTGTCTGTATGTGGGGTGCTGTCCTTTTGGTCTTCTAATCCTTTGCACAAGAGTTTTCTTAGGTTTCATTTTCAGTAATAATGCAAACTTTGTTTTCATCATAGAATATTCTTCAGAATCACTATTATCCTGGTTTTCCACAGCTGTTGTAAAGTCTGCTGTGTTGTCCTTTGGTATGATGTGTCCAGTTTCAACAAACTTTTCATACAATGCTTTATAGATAGGTAAACTTTCTAATGATTTGGTATCTTGAATCTGAATTTTTTTGTTACAGTAGAAACATTTTAATGAATTATAATTCAATTTCATAAATTTCTCTAATGCTGAGTAGCTGATTTTGTGCCCACATGGCAGCACTCTAAAATCATCTGTAACTCTCTGTGTGAATGGACATGTGAGATGGTCTGCCACCATATTAATATCCAATATTAACAAATTATCTGGATTAGAATCAAGCAATTCTTCAGGATTCTGCTCTATCACTGTGTTTTGCATTGATATTGATGTTTCTATGCAGGCTTAATGAATTTATATTTTATATTAATGAATTCAATCACATCTTGAAGCCTGCTTTTATTAGCTTCATCCAATTTGCAACATGTTCAATATGTTGACATAAATCTACTTGGATAACTGAAAAGGTATCTGGATCCTTTTTATAAAGTGTTGTCAAGACCTCCATTGCTTTGAATTGAATATTTTCTGTTAATACTAATACAAGGTCAAGTGTCAATACTGTGAGATAATAGCAGTGAGCCAAAGTATTAGTATTTTTTGTAGATTATCTGAGCTTTTGAGTAATTTCTAGTATACCATACAATAATGAATATGGGTATGATACAGGTGCATAACCACCAATATGGACCAGAGTGTGCTTCAAGTCAGACTTAAAAATATCCATCTCAGACTCTGATTTTACAGCAGCTTTGGCCCATTCTTGATCTCCAAATCTCCACAAATCTTTAATAATCATCAATTCACCTTTGAAAACCAAATCCCTATTGATTGGTATATCTGACCATTCAACAAATGCTTGATATGTGCTGTATAAATATCTCCAATCCTTGTACCAATAAGTAATAGGAAACTTGGGTTTTAGTGCTTGTTGAATATTATTATATGTCTCAAGAGAATTATAATTATTGTTATCAAATGGTGTTTGAATGTTTGCCATAATATTAGCCATGCCAGGTAAAATTCCAACCAAGCTAGTGAATACAGCTTTCAGGGTTCATATAATCTTAAATAAGATTGTTTCATCATCATGCATTGCATGAAGAGTGTCCTGAAGATGTATCAGTAAAAAATCAATATTGTAATTCTGACAATTAACACCTTTCTCTAAACCAGAGTATAACCCATAAGCAGTTTTTTGGTAATTGTATGGAGTGTACTCGGATTTACAGTTTTTGTTCAGGCCATTCTTTAGAGCTTGAATATTAATATGCCATTGGTGAAAATCATTCAAAGCAGCAAGATGCCTGTACAAAGACTCACGAAATTCCTTTGCCATTATAAGTGGTCTCCTGCCCCATGCTTCCAACGCCAGCACATATGTCCTGAGATGTAGCTCCAATTCCATACCGGTAGTTGCCATATGTGTCATATATGAAATGTTTGCAGTTCCTATTGTCTTCAATATATTTTCCAACTGATCATTATCCAGTTTATCCTTGGTTGTCAATAAACAAGGTGTGTAATCGGATAAAGTGATGTCTTCTGTCATTGTTGTTGGTAATTAATTCTAAGCATTTGATCACTTGTTCCCTCAATTGGATTGCGCTCAGGTTTTCGTCCGATTGAGTTGTATCGTCAATCTCGTCATCTTCAGTTTGTTTGTTTTTACCTTTATTTTTCGTTCTCGAGTATGACGATTCACCATGGTTCTGACATAAATGAGAGTTAACACATTGTTTCCACTTTTTAATAAATATTGTGATGCGTTCATACAGTGTGAATTAACTTACTGTAGCCTCTGCCATTTCCGCAAAATCGATGTTGAATATCTGAATAAGACAATCAACCAATCTCGTACCCCGAAACAGTTACACACAGTAAACAAATGCTGGTGCTAAAATAGGCTTCGGTCACCTAATACTAAAGTTTAATGTGTCGGCCAGGTTTGAAATACTAAAAACAGCGTCATCTATTTAGGTCTAGTATGATATCCATTTATGCGTTTATACACTATGCAGGAAAATTTTCAAATCGTTTGCTCATCTCTGTTCCGTATGACCGCTATTATAGGTTGGATCCGCTCATTTCCCTGACAATCACTTTCATCTCCCCGACCGTTATTTAACCACGATTCTTTCTGCTTATCTTTGAACAAATATCAAATGGAAATGGTTGACTGTAAAATTCAAATTTTGCGCCTGTAAATAACCTAGCGTCGAAATATTTATTGGAATAAATCGTCGGGGAAATGAACCAGACTCATTATAGATCATTTTGCTTCTTGGACGAAGTTGCTTTAATATTAAGTAATTATTTGTAACAAATTGGCCAAAAGGAGTTATACTACAACGCAGGCTGTTCTGCTTACTTGCAACGTTTAATGAAGATATTTAAAAAAGTGGTTTGCTCATAGTTGAAAGTAATATTTGATAAAGTAAACCTCGTGGCTTTGTCACAACTACACTGGTGAAAGTGCGTATCGATTAATCGTGCATTAGAAAATTCCTGACGTCTCTCAGAAAACGTAAAAGGGATCATTGTTATTATTAAAGATCGGGTAACAGTCGATAATTTTTTTATCTATTAAAAGCAGCCGATTAAACTGTCGGAAGATAGTTGATGACAACCAGTAAACATTCCTTAGCCCTTATCAAATCTCTCATGTTTGATTGTAGATATTTTACACTCTAATATATTATTATCATATTTTGTCTAAATAATTTAATTTAGTAATCGTGCTGAAGAGCGTGAGCGTTACAGTAACTTCTCTACTAGCAAGAATAATCGATCAATGATCCAGCCCGTGCTAATTAATTGATCATAAACACGTTACAGTAAAATAAATTTGTATAAGCTATCGGTACTTATTCCGGTTGTAGAATAGACATAGATAAGTATTAACGTCACTAATATTAATCTAACATTGTAAAATACTAATACAGAATTAACCTTTGTAGCATTTTGGAATAACAAAATTTCAAAATTAATAGTTATTTGTTCTTGCTCAACAAGTTGAACGGTTGAAAAGTCCTAACATTATTGTTCTAGATCTGTCAATTACTTTTAGTCACCTTCCTTATTACATAACATTATTTTATAAAATAAACTCAGCAGTTAGAATTTTACATACTCAGGTATACTGGTTTTTTATAACACAAAAACAATCCAGATTTTATAATATTTTATTCCTTATTCGATCGTACAAAAGGCATGCTATGAAACATTTGTTGCTAATTTTTAACAGCTATCCATTGACCGAATAAATCGTCCAAGTTACGGAGAAAGAGCTAAACGGTAACTGAGCATAAAGATTACCTGTTCCAATAAATTAAGGTTTCTTCGCAGCATCCAAGTAGTGTTAATCATAGTCAGATTGCATATGTTAGCAAATCTCTAAACCGGACAATAGATATATGTTAATACGAAGTATGGTATCAAAGTTATTACGAAATTTGAAAAACAGAAGAGTATCCTTGTAATTTTGTATACGTATTCTTGTAGCGTCAATTAAATTATTTTCTGATAATAATGCGTTTCGTGAATTAGTGTCGTCGCAGCTAACATTGAAGAGCAAATTATCAAACAACATTGATTCTCAGTCTCAACTTTTGATGCTTGTCATTAAGTGTTTCTAGTTCCCCATTACTTGATACATTTACAATAAGTTAAGCTCTAATTCTAAATAATGTACATTCCGACTTCTCTGAAAACCGCAAATTAAGGTTATTCACACTATAACTAGTATCAAACAAGTTGCTGTAGCAATTAATATACAGTAATCTTTGTCGTTTTTCGATCAATTAACAGCTTATGTCCATTAATACTTGTGTATTGAGAATTTATTCTAGTTAATCGGAATAACGCATATATTAAGATATCGGAACAAAAGATATAAGAACTTTGGAACTCTGGAGACAGGAACATTGATATTCTACCCTGTTTATAACAAACCGTTGTTACATTCCAATGCACGTCTAGCATTCTAATTAAAATATTCCTAATTTCTAATAATGCTATTGGCGTCAGTGACTGGCGCTTACTTGACAAGTTTGTGCATTATTAATATTTGTTTGCGGAGCTATGTATCAAATTCCAATTTCCAGTGCACAAACGCTTAAAATCATATAATCATTAATGCTAACCAATAAAATTAAAGGTCAAAAATCAGAATCTCATTTAACTACGTACAACCGTTGGTAAAAAGAAAAGAAAGAAAGGTTGCATAACAATCATTTCACTTGTATCCAGTAAAGATCATCAAGTCGCCAATAGCAAAATAATCCGAAATTTTTTTAGGTGTTGTGTACTAATGCTGCAGCATGTTTGATAACGTGTACAAATCAATAACTCAATTTCATCACCTCGTGGGCAGCTATTCGGTTATGGCATGGATCGACTTACTATCAATTTTTAAGTCTCGTTCAGGAATTTCGAATCTTTACTTTGACAAAAATCGATTCTCACTCTAGTCAGTAAGACATTCACTCTCGTTACACTCCTTCCCTCCCCCCATTCTTAAAAATAAGGAGAGGGTGAAACGGACACTTTATCGACATAGATGTCTATTCCTTTTTCCATATCAATAACATGGGTTGCGTTTATGCCATATTTCAAAGAGTACTGACTTGGTTACTCATCCTATGCATAGTATCTAATTCCCTTCACAGTACGCTAGCATTCAATAAAATAATTGAAGGGTATGGAGTAGTTGTACCGTTAGATTCTACGCCAGCTATACCCACTTCCGCTTCCCCCACACCCGACCCCGCTTCAACCACACCTACAACCGTTTCAACCTCAACCACACCCGACCCCGCTTCAACCACACCTACAACCGTTTCAACCTCAACCACACCCACACCCGTTTCACCCACACCCGCACCCTCTCCTTCCACATCGCCGATATCGAATGAAGATAGAGTGATTGTTGGCTATTATCCTGACTGGAGATCGTCGCAGTTGGCTGTTAATAATTTATTCTGGGACAAACTAACACATATCAATTATGGTAAGGATCGGGATGAAACAGTATCAATGTATGTACAGTTGTCAAGAAACGCTCACTAAAAGAATTTCAAATTAACAGCCTTTGCGCTAATGAACGATTCGTTCAGTCCCGTCATAACGACCGGTCCCAACCTGAATACGCTAGTATGGTATGCGCATACATTCAATGTCAAGGTAACTGAATTTGACTTTGAAAGTTCGACTTTTTTTATCCATTATCACCTTTTTTAATCACAGTGTCCATCCACGTCAAAACAGGTTCTTCTCGCAATAGGAGGTTGGACTGGCAGTAAAACGTTCAGTACAATGGTCGCAACTCCAGAGTCGCGTGCGGTATTCATCAATGCTACCATGTCACTGATTAATCAATATAGCTTGGATGGGGTAAGATGACTAAATGTATATCCTGTCAACTAACTAGTAAGACATGTGAAAAATATTTATTTTCGAACAATGATTTGGTACCCTTTTGAAGCTAATTGATTGTGCTTTCTGGATAATTTTAAGATAGATTATTGATACAACGCTACAGTTCTCCAAACTGGTAGTAGATAGTATATAATTATTTTTACCTATACATTGCGACTTTGTTTCTAGTAAATAATGTGATTTTACAATCAATTAGCTTTAAAACGACACCAAATCATTGTTACGTGAATACAGACAATAACGACTTTCGAAAATAAAGAGCTTTCATATGTTCTACTACTTGACCGATAGGATTTTGGAGGTGTAAATGTCTAATCATGTTCAGGCACACGTTGTTTCTATACACTCAATACAATTTACTTTTATTAAAAGGTCGATATTGACTGGGAATACCCGGGAAGAAAAGGCGCGATATGTAATGTAGTTAATACGCAGAACGATACCAGTAACTTTTTGTCTTTGTTGAAAGAGTTACGCGCAGCTGTGGGGAACAAATTATTAACTATCGCGGTTAGAGCGGAAACTCTTGATGGACCAAACGGACCCATCACGGACGTGAGTGGATTTGCCTCGGTCGTTGATTGGGTTAATATTATGGTGAGTTATAAGATTTTAATGCATTCTATACGTTATATGCAATCTCGGGAGACGTTCATAAACGTTCATAATCCCAACTAACAACACTCTCTTCATCACCTTTCTCAGGCTTACGACATGGCAGTGGATGATCATTCGAATGAACCCTGGACAAAGATAACAGGACCCAATGCTCCATTTAACGTTACATCTGGACAAGGCCGCCAGCTATCCTTTACTCAATCCATAAACACGTGGCTCCAATCCGGCATGCCTGCTTCCAAAATAGTCATGGGAGTCGAATTCATCGGTCGCGCACTGACAGCGACCGATCAAATGTCAGATTCACAATACGTTGGACGTGACTCGACGGTCCCCAAAGGCGATCAAAGCGACGCGCTCTGGGCCGAACCGTGTCCAGGAGCAAGCCAGGCTTATTCCGGTGTTTGGACGTGGAGGAATTTGAGACAGCAAGGATTGCTGGAATGTACCATGTCAGCTGCTAAAAACACACCATGGACGCGATATTTTGATAACGTGACCAATACTCCATGGCTGTTTAATTCTGAAACAAAGACGTACATCTCTTACGACGACCCTCAGTCGCTGTATATCAAAACCGAATATGTAAAATCACAAAATCTTCGGGGAATGATGATATGGGAGCTTACTACTGACAATGGGAAGGAACTTTTGAACGTTGTTCAATCGTTAAAGCAATCTTCCTCTGCCGCACCAACCAACGACTGCAGTTCGACTGCAGCTTACAATCCTGACGGTGCCCCCGCCACGGATTCTTCCAATGAGGCTTCTGGCAGCGAATCTCCAAAATCTAAAAAAGTCGGTGCTGGCATAGCAGTGGGAATAGCATTCTCGCTTGCCGCATTCGCAGCGCTATGCATGTTTGGATTCATCTGGTATCGTCGAAGACGTGCTGCAGTCTCGGCTAATGAATCTGGACCGGGTAGCGCATCAGCTCTCGTCGGTGCTGGTGCGGGAGTTCAGTATAAAGATTGTGTAATAGCTTTGTTTGACTTCAAAGCAGTACGAAAAAACGATTTGTCGTTCAAGAAAGGAGATATTATTGAAGTACTCGATAAGGGTAATGGAGAGAATTCGTGGTGGATTGGACGGATCAATGGAGACGTTGGAGAATTTCCCGGTAAATAGAGGAAACCATTGTAATAATGTTTTGTTTTTTCTGATTATGATATGATCCTAACGAAATAATTAATTCTGTTTATCCAGGGAATTATGTCAAAGATGAGTTTTAGATAACTATTACTATCCTTATTTAATTGTTTCCTTGTAACAGTCTTTTCGACCTGTGTAAATTAGATGTCATCAAGTTCCAATACTTTTCATTATATTCGCATTGCCATCAACTCCCTTAATTCACACTAGACATACGTTTGCGGCTCCCTTAATTCTGAAATTACACCTTGTTCCTGTTCTCAATTACTCACTATCAATTCCATTAATTTTCGACAATGTATAAAATAATATAACCAACGACGCATTTCGCGCTTTGTACTTTGACCGGCGTCTTCCACATCAAAAATTTGTCCTATCTGAATTAGGCGCTACCCTCTCGCAATAATAGATCAACTCCTACGGTTATAAATGCAAGTCGTAAGCTGATATTTTTAATCACGATTACAATACTAGAAATTGCCAAGTCCTATATTACCCTGAGATCCGCTATAACCTTCGATTCGCTAACACCGTCCTTTGTTATTCGGCCGTATATCAAGTCTGACATTTCCTCGTTTAACCTACGAAAACAAAAAATTTGTATTCGAATTCACAAAAGACAACTACAGACAGACTGACCACAACGTGCAGGGGAGATAAGGGAGGAGTAGAATATGTACGCCTCAAATGTCTTTAGCCATTCTCCGCATTCTTGCTCCATTCGATTGATATCGGCCGTTAATATGGTGTCTGCGTTAGATAATGTCTCAATCGCTTGGTCTAGCGTGAGGCGACGATGTTTCTCGTCATCATCGTCAAAGGCATCCAGTGCTTCTGAATCCACCTGATTGAATAAATCATTGAGATATAGAATATAATTTTACGTCAGTTTTATCGTAAATATGAGACACTGACTTCCTCTGCGGACGAAGATTCGTGATCGTCAATATCCATTTGTTCCCCTTCGCCTCCATTATTAGATCTAGGATAGCTTGTTTTCTCACACTCTTCTTCTATATTCTTTTTAACAAGGCTGCGTATCTCTCTGCGAGACGCCTGGAATTCTTTATAAAGTTGTTTAATTTGAGGGTTATCTCTGTTGAAATGAAAAGAAAAGTGGTGTCATATATATTATTATATTCACGGCATAGTAGCGTGCAACTTACCTGTGAGCTGCTGGAAATGAGTTTGTAAACTGGAGTAATGTTAAGCTATCTTGGAGCTCGTTATCAAGAAAGAAAGAAGTTAAGAGGGAACTCTCTTTATGTGGAGGCATAATTAAGTGAAAAGTACTACACTACAAAGGTCCAATATAATTAACACGGCTGTTCAAGGCTGATTGGTCAGTTAACAATGGACTCGATGTTGGTCTATTTTTTTGGACGCGACTCAAGTAAAATATAAATTCGTGTTTAGTGCTTTGGCAGCATTGTAGCTCTGCAATGATAAAGCCGTCGGTAGTCGGGAAATGTCATCTTGACTATTGTTATATGCTCATGGATGGATGGTGTCTTGTTCTATGGGGAAGCTTTTAATCTAGAGTTCTTTAAAGTCCACATAGAATAACTCTGTTGGTTATACTAATGCTCAAATTTTATTACCATGAAGTCTCGGTATTCAAAATAACGTATTTTTATCAGCCTACGTATTTAAACAAGTCTCCATGAAGCACATTTACAACAACGTTAGAATGTCATTGCGTAAATTACTTGATCTCCAACGCATCTGTAGCTAACATCGACATATTAATGAGTTTTTACATGCTAATGCGTAATTTATCAGGTGGTTTACATCACGTATTAGAGAAAATAATTATTGCATCATTTCCCCCACGCACAGAGTCTCACTTATAAACTCACGGAATTGACAAAAAAGTACTGTTCAACCGAATTGGTACACAGTTACATAGTGCGAGCGTTTAATGAATGGGCTAATTACATGTCAGAAAACCGCACTAAAAGAAAACATGTTCCCTGAAATAATAAGTTTTTTTTTGAATAAAATAAACGCCAAAAAAGCTCGATAATTGTGACATACACTCTGGACAAAAGTATCCGATGGAAGTTTTTTCGATTTTATGCAAAATCCAGTATAATAATTACACAAACTTTTTATATAAATTTGTAGTTTGCTTTTTGCGAATCTGCATGTGAAGTTTGAAGTGTTTAGCTTTTTTGAACGACGAATTATCAAACAAAAGGCAATTGTGATTAAAATCAATTTCGCCGATTCCAAGTTTATGCAATCATCTACGAATGCAAACGTCTTTGCCAGTTCTTTGATTGTTACCTCTACGAATAATTTTTTTTAATATTTTTTTATCTTTAATATTTATGCTTTTAGATCTACCACTCCTTCGAGCACTTTTTAAATTATCAGAGTTTATGTAGCGAACAATGGTATCCCGTACAGTGGATGGCGGAATTTTAAACGTCTTAGATATCTTTGAAATGCTACTTCCACCTGTTTTAAGACCTAAGATTTTTCCTCGATCAGCTTCTGTCAATTCGGAATCTTTTGGCATTGTAAACGATAATAAAGTGCTCGGAAATAAAATTTGGAAACAACGCGATAAAAACAAAACAAAACAACACGAAAATCTTTGCACACAAATTTTCCCCCTTTGATACTCTTTTCAACTCTTTTCACTGAAAACCGGTTTTTGGATTATCATAAGTATATTTTTATTTTTCTTCTTCGTTTTTTAACAATTCTACCAACTTCTTTTTCTTGTCGGCTCCTGTTTCTTTTTCATCATACTTTTCAGCTTTAAATTCTGCTGCATCCATTTCTGCTTTAATCAAAGCTTTTTTTTTATTTAATTATTTACATACAAAAAAGAAGCGGCAAGAAAAAGTTGAGCAAAACATATGTTTGTATTTGGTTATAATAATAAAACAAATTTTATTTATTTAGATTTGTTTAAATTCTTTTATATAAATTTTCGTGAGCCAAAGATCGGCGAAATTAATTTTAATCGCAATTGTCTTTTGTTTAATAATTCGTCGTTCAAGAAAGCTAAATACTTCAAACTTCACATACAGATTTGCAAAAAGCAAAGCTACAAAATGATATAAAAAGTTTGTGTAATTATTATACTGGATTTTGCATAAAATCAAAAAACTTCCATCGGATACTTTTGTCCAGGGAGTGTACGTTTGTTTAAATACGATTTATTAGAATATAAAGAATCATTCTAATGCAAGGATTTGGAGATCTAATTGAGGGCCTCGGCTGAAGATATCGTTCTGCTATCGTCTAAGCTATTCTTTTATAACTATTCTAGTCGTACAATGTCAAGAAATTTAGCCGGATGAGGAAATAATTCGTATTACGCAATGTCAAGAAACAATGCGGGTGGGAGCAGATCTCTCGCGATTCCATTGGTCAAATTTGTATGACAGCCAATAAAACTGTAAATGCGGGATCACGTCCTGCTCCGCTTTAGCCTTCCCCAATATTAAGCAATGTTGTGACACTCATTTTTTGACATTTCTTGACATATTAATATGTCTTGTCTTTGGCGTTTACTGCACTCGTAACACTTCAGAACGCCGCAGCCTTCGCAGATCACAGGCGGAGATTACGTCCTATTATCCATCGGATCGGACAAATGACGAAAATGATATAGATGAATCTTACAGTTTTCTAGCCAGGTTTATTCAAAAAAGAAAAAGTTTATTGCGCCTACATCAACTTTCACCCCATGTATAGTTTTAGATTTAATTGACAGCGAGGTGAAACGCTACAACAGTACAAAAAACTTATGTTCAATACGTCAACTTGGGGAATGTGGGAGATAGACGGGGATGACGATGCAGTTAAAAATAAAGACACGCACCATTTCCCTCGGACTATGTCATTCTAAACAACGTAAGAGCCATAATCCGATTGACAACAATGCTGACTTTGCTCTAAGTCATTTATTGCAGTGAACGTTCAGCAAAGGTTAATGGATGTAATGTTCAAGTACCTTGCTTAGGCGCTGATTGTATACGATCAATTGCACAAAAACATTATGCAGGTTATCGTGCACATTATATCTGTACAAATGCTTTCAGCAACAGGGTGAACATTTACGTGAAAAAGTTGGCAGAAATAAAGAATTCGTATCTTGTGGAAAACGCGGAGAACACAGTAATAGTAATGATATAAGTGTGATATAGGAAGATGGATAGCATCTGTATCAGAGTCAAATGATCGACATTATTATTATAATTATTAAAACCAGTACTTGCAGTGCTTAATAAGGATAACTAAACAGATAAATCGGAAGCAATTGGTCAAGCAAATTGCTGGTTGGAACTGCTTTAAAATTGGGGAAAGTAAAAGTCAGCTTGACTTATACAGTAGCCCCAGAAATGCCATCTTAATCTATTATAGGAAAGGCATAAGGAAAAATGATTGCATCATCATATTCTAAAATTCAAGAAAATCAAAAACAATTAGAAGAGCCAAACTCCTATAAAGTATATTGTGATGCACTTCCTGATTATTTTTGTGCTGAGTTACAAGAAAAAAAGTTAGCTGCTGTTAACAAATAAAAAAGAGAAGGTAATGCAATCTCCCATCTATTATATGCGTGATGCAAAGCTTTGAACAAAGTGGTGAGTTGTGTTATCCTCTGCCCATTGAGTATGAAATCACTTAATGGTTCGACTACTGGTTTATTATTATCAAGAAACACTGCACCAAGGATGCAGATCCAAGGTCCTGTGATAGCCATTATAATAGACGGACAACAAGAACTCTTGCGGATTTTGTAACCTGTATTAGTATGTGGAAAGTTCAAATAAGAATAAACGTGATAAAACAATGTCAAAGTAAAAAATGTTCAGTCAAAAAGGATGCACCTGCTCCTGTGCCCAGTACTTCATGTAAGAGCAAGCACCTTGAATTGAAGGATCAGCAGCTCCCGTTCCTATCTCATTCTTGATCTCCCACATGATTGAAGCAGCTCAGTATCACAGAGACAAATAAAGTTGTTGTTCTTGTTATTTGATCAGTATCAATGTCTTTGGATGTATATAAGACTTTGTCTTGCTTTTACAAGGACCTAATGAATTGGAGATCCAGAAAGCACAAAGAATGTTCCCTTACCACTGACAATACATCTGTGATGGGAAGACTGTCAATTTCTCTAAGTAGAAGTTGATTGAGGGATGGAAGATTGATCTGGAAAGCAGAAACTGATGAAGGCCAAATAGTTATCATTAAGTTTACAGATCAGTACAATGCTGAAGCCCACCAATTGTTGGCTAATCAGGGATTTCTCCTCAGCTTACTATGTTAGTGTGTCGAGGCAATAGTCACGGGAGAGCAGATAATTACTGTCTCGGTTTGGGATCTAGCTGCGCCGTCGTAGGAGTGTGGCTCACCTCAGCGGTAGCTAAATCGTAACAAACAGTTAGTGACCTTTAAACTAGGCTTTCAGTGTTGACGTATCCTTGTACGAGTGACACGCACTAATCCTAGATAATTAATTACTCTCGAGAACAAAAACTACTCTCTACCGATGGATTAGTTCGGTAGTCTGTAGGTTGGGGTCTTGATTAGAAAAATAATGCGCGCTGCGAAATAATAATTAATTATCCTAATGCCACTCGATCGATTGCGAGACAAGTATTACAACCG